CGCACTAGATAATGAGGGACCTCTTCGTAATGATGTAGAGCCGGGCGTACCACTCACTCGCACAATCCTTCGCGGATAGGTAGGGCTATTTTCACGGCTCCCAAGCGGCGATTGCTTCCCCCTGGTAGATGATCCCAATATACCTGCACTTTCCACTCTTGTGTGTGAAGTTTCAGGAGCCTTTGGTGTTGTACGAGCAGCGATTGGAGTTTCAACAACTGAGGCCTCGTCATCTAGTAAAGCTTTTGTTAGGGCACTCAATTTCATCGGCATTGGAATTTCGTCGTCGGAGCTGTCGTTGAGCGAATAATGCCGAGCTGATTCGACATCTGGCCTGGTAGAAGAGGGTCGGGTAGGAGCTGGTTTATATGCATTTCGTGAGGCAGGTCTTCGGATAGCTGCAAATTGACTCGACCCCATTGGGGTGGGTGAAGCCGTCGCCATTGGGGCGATGTGATGGAAGATGGGCAGTGAATCGAATGTCGATATTTGTGCGATATGGATCAAAAATTATGTAATCTGGCTCCAATTTATTACATCCTCTATTCAAGCAATATAATGTCAGAATCGGGGGAAGATGCGCGTAAAAGATGGCGCGTGAAGTTTTTAATATGAGGTTGGGTATTTCTAGGTTCTTTTTTCGCGGGTGAAATTAGATTTGATTGTTTACATGGCAGAGCAACCGTAACCCGGGTAGGCAACCGGAAGATCCCGCACAGTCTAGAGCTTCCTTCTGTTTTTATACACACTCGAACCACACTTCACGCTGTCATTTAATACATGAAAAACATTTTAGAAGCTGTAAGTTGATTTCAACACATCTGTGAAAAAGTCTTATAAATTTCCTATTCCTCCCACAGTTGTTCCATCAAAGATATCCGAAACTCATCATTACCTCTGTCCATATCCTGCGAGTAAACAGAGACACTGTCCCGGTAACAGATATACTCCACAAAATACTAACAAGGCGGGGTACACGACTTATCCTCCTATCATCATCATGCTCATTATGAATCCGGTTCACATTCTGTGCTTTGGCAATTCATTAACACATGGGTGGCCATCCAATCATCCATACGCTCTTGCATTAGAGGATACTTTTCAAACCTCGTCACCCTATATCTCGATAAAAACAGATGTCCAAGGATTACCGGGAGATCAAGTTGTCAGTCCTCCTGGACACTACTTACCAAGACTAGATATCTTGTGTAAGTCGTCCTCTGTTCTAAATTCTGGTTATGTTTGTGACTGTGGTTATCTGAGCGGGATTGATGCTGCGACTACCTATATACCCTAGATAACATTACTAACCCGTACCAGACAATGAGATCGAAGTACCTTATAGCTGGATGGTCATATTAGGAGGCACTAACGATCTAACTCAAAATCAAGATGTCGACATCGTCTTTGAATATCTGATGAAAGTCTGGGATTACGCTCTTTCTCGAGGAACCCAAGTCTTGGCCTTGACCATCCCAGAATGTGGTACTTGTAGGCCAGAACTCGACCAGCGAAGAGATTATCTGAATGGTATGATTCGTGCTCACCAAGCTGAAAATTTGTGAGTGTGCTTTGTGAAAATTTGCAGCAAATGCTGAATTGCCATCTAGTCATGTGCTGGATCTTCATGATGCTATACCGTATTGGAGCATGCCAGAAGAGGAACGTAGACGAATCTGGACCGATGGCTTACACTTCACAGAAGAGGGCTATGATTGGATGGGGACTTTGATTGGCGTTGAACTTCACAGATTGATGTCTGCTAGAGGATCGGAAGTTGGACAAGGGCAGAAATCTTTGATGCTCCAGAAAAGCTAGTACCCCGAGCAGTGGTCGATAGGTATACAACATCTTGATGATGGATGAGGCTAATGGCTTGAGTCAAAGGCTCAAATGTAAATGAATTGCACCGTTACAACTGGCAAAGATACAAAATGTGGTATTTTTCGTACTTTTAATGATCATATTGATCTATTTTTCATTATTATCATAAATGTCATGGTGAACATCGTCAATCTGAACTCCTCTATTGGTATGCAGTGACCACACCTAACGCCAGGCTTGTATCGTGTAATTCATTTCGCATCATCCCTATTATCATACCACCAGATTTGCAGCGACGAAGTCCTAAACCTATGTTAGCGGTGTCAACAGATCATGTCCAATTCTACTCACCGGATAAACTAGCTGCAACTCAGAAGTCACTTTCTCAACTTCTTCGGCCAAATTTTGAACATTAGCGTCCCATCTTCTCAGTTCCCTCCCAACAATCCCTTCCGATCTACCGCTACCTTTCTCTCCAGTAGCCTCTCCGCCCTCAAACCAAATGACCCTCTCTACTTGATCAATCCTACCGACTAACCGACCTTGTTCAATCATGCTTGCGGTAGTTTCCTCGGCCTTGTCTCCGTCAAGATCCAATATCTCTCCAAGAGCCTCGAAGCGAATATTGTTATATAATCTCGACGCAGCTCTTAAGTTGTGCTCTACAACTGCCCTTTGCAAGACAGTGGTACCATCTGAGGTCTTTGCAAGTTGATGTGTAGCCAAACCTTCTGCAAACTTAGATACTTCTTCGGGAGACAGTAAGCGATCCAGGAACATCTTCTCCAAGATACTAAACTCGTCTAAACTAGCAGCTCGCTCATCTTTATACAATCTGCCTAAAGCGCGGCTTCGAAGGGGGCCAGCAGGCGCCAGGACAGCACACTTAATGGCCATACTGAGAGTGTGTAAACGTTCTTCCTCGGCGATGACAGGCAAGAAACTAATATCCTGGTAGCCTTGAGCAGCGGCTAAGAAATTCCTCCTAGCATCGTGGATACGTGCTTGACTGAGTTGAAAGTGCAGGTTCAGATCACGGTCCTCGACTGTATATATGACGTTCTTAGCTTTGTTCAGGTATTGCTCTGCAAGCGTTGTATCGTCCACTTCGAGATAGTTGCGAGTAATACGAATCCAGCAACGAACTTTCTCCTCATTTGTGACTTTTCGTTGCGATGATTCCAGAACGATACCGGCTAATATTTTGGCAGCTGCAAGGTTATCTTCGTCGTCTTCGTACGCTGTGGCCATCAGCTCACGTATTTGCGCATTTTGTTCTTCGAATGAGGATGCTTGTTCACCAAGTGTCGATAAAGCATGTTGACCAACTTGAATCTTGGCTTCATTATTGTTTATGGCTTTGAGCGCATCGACAAACGATACGATCACGGATCGAGTAGCAACTATGCCTAAAGCATCTGCAAATATGGCATCGAAAATGGCGATTAAGTCGTCAGGTAACTCTGCTGGTGTAGATGTAAATTGAGCGTTTGAAAGAAGGGTAGTGTAGCCTTGTTGTTTTTCCTCTGAGCTTGCAATTTGCTGCATAGCTTCCGCTATCTTTTGAGATACCATGATCAATAAGGTTACCTTGATTGACTTAGCACAGTGGAATTGTGTAAGAAAACGTTCAAGTTTATACAGTATTACTGCTCAAGGCTGAGGTTGTGATGGTTGTTAAGGAGATGGAGCTTGAGGTGGGGTAGCCGGGGAGCTTCTGGAAGGCTACTGATACATAAGCTCGGATATTTTATGGGCTAGACTAAGCCAACGAGAGTACAGTACCTACGCCTACGTCGCCTACCCAGGAACATTTAATCTCTATGCTGTACCAAATTCATTTTATCATTTTCTCATTTCGGAGAACACGCCGTGAAGCTTATTATATTGCCGTAGAGAGAATTTGGTTAAAGACGAGTCGTCGGTCGAGTAGTGTATCAATTAACACATGACAAATTCCTTTTTCAATGCACAAAAGCCTTAGTTCTGAAGATCACGTCGTTGCAAGTGCAGACGATATGAGACAGACGATTTTTGCTGAAAGCCAATACTTATGACTACTTTACGGATCGCTTGGTACTTTACTCGAGCGGCAATTATTAGATATTGGTGTTGGTGGAGCTTCACCTATGTTTTGATGGGAGAGACAGACGATGGCCTGAGATACCACTGCGTTGACTGTTCGGTGCCGGCGATGGAGGGACTGAGGCATTGAGAATGTTGACGGATCAAACACCATCACTGTGTAATGATGAGCACCTAGAAGCTTTCAATCTCAACACCTGGTCATTTCGTATTTGGAAAACGATTTTCAATAATCTGCGCCAGAATATCAAGGGATTGACGTGAGTATGACGGATCTGGAGTTGGGAAGGAAGATGAGGTGGAGAGAGAATGATAGAAGAAGAGAATGGAAGGGTGTGAGAGGAAAATATAACGACGCACTGAAGTCTGAGTAGACAAAGTCCCCTGAATGACATAGTGTTTCTTAGCAGCTTCGAAATCTTCTGGCGAAGCTTGACATAGCAATTCATGTGTTTCATGATATAGTTGTGATCGCAATACTTTCTATGCTGTACGTTACTGGGACGGTTATAGTGAGACGCCATTTTCTATGGAAAGCTGCCCTGGAAGTTCACAAGAGGACTAATCTATTTCGTCAAGGGGATACGAGACGAAAATCACAAATGTGTATGTGCCTGATTGGATGGGTGAGTATTGAATTAATGGATTTCATGCTTCCAATTCCTTCAGTCAACCCGATTGCCATTTATTGGGCAATGGTTCGATAGCTAACAGCGAGCATCTGAACCAGCGACCAAACGAAGCCTTTCTAGATCGATGAAACAATATTTTATGGAATTATGCGCCACATTCTGGATTTGTGTTCGGTCCGTCTTTGTTAACATAGCGGAGTATGAGGCTTGAGTGGGTTGAAGCATTTCAAGCCATGTGATACTGAATGGTGGTACTGCGGGGTAGAGGGAAAAGGGAGAAAGTATGCAAAGCCGTAGTATCTCACATCAATAAAAACCTCAAGGTCGTGTCAAACCTCCATCTGTCTGTTTTAAATCTCTTCTCACTCTCGTCTTCCAACAATCACGGTGGTCTCTATTTTAGATTCCTCTACCGATAACTCATGCAGAGAAGGTGGGCCACTTCTTCTAGAGCTTCCGATGGGAAACAACAATAACGACACCAACACCACTACTCAACCTACTCTAACGGGTGACCAATCTTCTGTCATCGGCCAAGATAGACCACTTCTCTTCGCATTGAATCTCGACCAGAACAATAATAACTCCGCTGCCAACTATGCCATCACAAGTACTATCTCTGATGCTTTGAATCCGAGGAATTTCGGTCTCGAGTTGAAAGTCGTTGGCAATGAGGATAAAACTATATCCCGATCACTGCCTCGCCCGCAAATGACGACGGGAATGATGGGCCACTTAGTGAGGCAAAGACATATAGTCTAAACAATGAACCATTGCAGTTTTTGGGGAGATGATGGAAGAACCCCTTATTATTCTGAGACGCTAACTAGATCAACGTTTTGAACTTATAATTTTATTGCATTCAATATCATATTCGATAAATACAATGATCTGAATTGATTGATATGAATAAAGTTCAATATTGTGCTCAACAAATAACATATTAAGTTTACCTAGATCGATAGCATTTCTAACATTTTGAGTGAGTATGAAAATTAAACGATCTGAATACGCCCTAGATAATTCCTCATGTCTGCTTACCTACTTTGATAGCCACTAGCTTATAATAAATAGGCTTCTTCTACTCTCATGTTGATTTTACTCGATGGTGGAGTCAGAGTTGATCAGAAATATAATGCTATAAAAAATGATCATGAGCTTGCTTCCCTGCATCTTCACTGTACATCTCGCGCTGAAACTGCACCTATCAGGGTGAGAACGATAGCAGTCACCCGATGTAAGTTTTGATAAATGGATGTTATTTCATGTCATTCTCTCACACAGCGACAATGAGTGTCCTCTGAGTGCACTCCGTATTTATGATATAATTTGAGAAATACTCCATACTATAATCGTATAGGAGAGGCTGTCGCTCAAAGTACGTCAAACTACTAGATTGTTCGGAGTCTTTCTATATACTCCGTTCCGCAGACGATTGTCTTGATTTCATCACAGTCTCGAGACAGTATATTTCCCGTTCCCGTTCCCCATTCGCAGCTCTGAAACATAAGAGAGCATTCCTTTAGCTGCCCTGGTAGATTTGACGTGCAGTAGTACCGTTGCTAAGGCAGTGCAGCATGAAAGACTAAATCTGATTGGCCAGAGATTCATATAAACAAACAATCCTGATTAATCAAATGATCCCCTCACAGCCTTGTTAAATTCCCCTGAATCTTCAAGACCCTTACGATACCTACCCACCTATGTTGTATGTAGGTATGTATATCTTGTATTTACGAGTACGAAGTATAACACATATGATTGAAAGAGTAATATAAAGCAACACATATACATATACCTACCTATACATCGAATATTAATGTTCGTATGAAATGAAAAACTTGTTATTGTTAGGCGAAACTGTATTCACCAAAATAAAATAAAGCGACGCGGCAACAATTATTACAACAGAAGTCGCGAACCTGTAAACATACATACAACCATCCATCCATCTATCTTCCTTCCTTTTCCTCCTCTCCTCTTCCACAAAACCTCCTCTCCTCTTCTACAAAACCTCCCCTCCTCATATCCATAGCTTACCAACAACAATACGTTACCGAATTTCCTTGAGGTTCACGTAATCTGAGACATCTCCTTCTCTCATAGTCGACCACAACTTTCTTCTTTGCATCAACCTGCATCTGTTGTGTATTTCATCAGAAACCATCGCAATTTCAAAAATGTCACGACAATCTGCTTACAAGCAGTTTCTAGCTTCCCCAAACCCCTCCTTACTCACAGCTGATGCTTCCCTTCATTTCATTACAACTTTGGTCACTGTTCATGGAGCTTCTGATATTGTCAAGCATTTGAATGGACAGAACCATCAACTCGAGAAGAAAGAGGAAACCTTCCTAAATACCGTTGAAGGAAACTCCTCCATCGCCGCAGAAATCCACACAACCATTGAATTCAAGACATCGGGAGGATCCTATCTACCTGGACTGGATGACAACTTTCTCGCTGATCGCACAGTCACCTTTCCAATTGTAAGCTTGGTCCTGTCTGTTTTGAATCTACCCGCATACTAATAATGGCAGATCCATATCGTAAGTTTCGATGTCAACGGAAAGATCCAACAAATTCGACAAAACTGGGACCAGGGATCACTTCTTAAATTGATTGATGTTATCGGAAAGACTGGACGAAACTGGCCAATCCGGGATGGAAAGGATCAGATAAAGCTCATCTCATCAAGCGTCAAAAATACTGGTACGTTAGATGCTTCTTCGAACGTGGATCCACTCGCTCGCGCCAGAGGTAATTCCAATAATGTATTGCGCGACCCGCACGCAAGCCTTTCCTTGTTTGCTCCCCGTGAAGATATTGGATCCAAGTCCCGTCCGGCCGAAGTACCAACCAGTGTATCCGCAAGGCCAGCACCTCGGGACTATAATGATCTTTTTGTTAACAAAAATTCCTCGACTGTAGACGATGTCCTTTCCCCTCCAAAAGCAGGCGCCTCCAAGAAGTTCGCACCATCTAGACTATTCGATGCCGATGAGAATGAAAACACCCCAGATAGCCCTATCCGCGAGAAGTCGAAGGACCCCATGTACCGCCCAAATCCAGCTAGGTATGAACACTTCGAGATTACCGATGGCCCCGAGGAAGAGGAACCCATTCGACCGCCAACTGGCAAGGGTGGCAAGGGTCAACATCAAAGTCAATGGGGCTTTGATGATTTCCAAACACCGCAAAAGGTTGTTCCTACTAAAGTTCTTCGCGCAGCTGAAGTTCGTCATTGGGGTAACAGTGATGATGAAGTCTTAGATAGCCCGGTCAAATTCAAGAAAGCCGAAAAACCTCGCAAGGATGCTCAGACTCATTTTGAGTTCCAAGACGATGCCACCCCTCAAAAAGATCGTCGTATCGTTGGAAACCCTCGTGGGCAAGGACACAACAATGGACTTGGGCTCTACAAAGACATTCTATTTGGTGAGAATGGAGGTGACACCCCAGTCTCAAAGAAACAACCTACAGGTCTCGCAAATGCTAAGGACAGAACCAAGGACTTTGATCATTTCAGCTTGGCTGATGAATCGCCAGTAACTGGACAGGCTCCTACTCACATGGCAGGAGATAGGGCCAAGGCTGTGAAGATGATGGACGCTAACTGGGATACATACGATGAATCACCTATTGAGAAGAATGCCAAAAAGGAGAATGATCCTTCTTCGCCAAGTCGCTCCAACCCTACCAAGGAGCCATTGTCTGAAATCAACACGACTTCTAAGCGCAACCAGCAAAATGTTGGCATCAAGACAATGGGTGATGGAATGGGCGGTAGCAAAGGTGCAGGCAGACGATGGGGCTTTGGAGACGATTCTGATGGAGAGGAAGCAGGTGGCCTCAATGGTGTAGGAAGCAAATTCCGCAATGGTCGCCCTGGCAAAGCCCAAAATCAAAAGGCTACTGGTGGTGATTTCTGGGATTTCTAGGCCATAAACTTCGAAACATGATTGAGTTGTTGACTGGCTTGTTAAGCACGTATTACGAGAGATGAGAATCATGATCAGACAATATTGGCTTCGATTTTATTTCCGCTTTTTGATGCGTTAGAATTAGGTGTTGACAAGGTGTTTGCGATGGATGATAGGTCACTACGCGATTGAGATGATTTGTCTGTCTGGTTTCGGTTTTCTACGCTTTCTTGAGTGTGTTATCTTCTACTTTGAGGGAATGGGGATTGGTTTATTCATGTTTCTTTGCACATGCGCATGGTGGATTAGCGTAGTTGAGGAGTAGAGGAAAGCATATCGGCTGAGAACGGAAGCCGTTGAGTGTATTTGTTAGTATTGTGTATTCTTTTGGCAGCTACCTAAGTTCATTACATTACGAAGATATCAAAAATGCAATGGATTCTTTTATTGATTTTACGATGGCATTCTGATTTTGAGGTGATTGTGTCGGCTGCCTATGAAGTCGATTTGCATTCTTCTAATGTGTGGCGTGTCAAGTCAGTTGAGTTGAATGAAAATGTGATAAATGGTGAAAATTAAGATAATTCATTACTTTTCTAAGCTCTGTAGGTACGAGGTCCCTGTTTACCCGACCCGACCTGACCTAAGCGTCTTCTCTCTATCGTCTATCGTGCCAGGCAAATGCCAATGCCAATGCTAAAATCATTTAATACATCCATCCATCCATCCATCCATCCATCATGAGTTTACCCGTCTGTAGGATTTGTTCCTTACTAGACTTCTTTTTAATCTCGTTCCTCGCTATCTATGCTCGAAGCTCGCTTGCTCGTAATCAAATACCATCTCCCTTCTATATGCACGCACCCGCTAAATATCATGAATCCGACTTGCTTTTCTCCTCGCCTCTCGAGCCTCTATATACTATACACAATCCCTCTTCCTTCTTTCCTCTCCCCGTCTCCAACCGTACCAAATCTAAACCTAAACCCCCGTAAAAGCCCGTCGAGGCGGTCCTCCAATCTTCCCCACCGTCGGTAATTCCCCCCTCTCCCTCCCACCATCACTCTGCACCGCCTGCGAACTCACCACGCCGGACCGCGGATCAATTCTCCCCCCTGGACTCGGATTCGCGGTCGAATATCCCGATGCTTCGGGTATATCTCTCAATTCGCTACTGTGAATATCTCTCCCCTGCGAATGCAACCCCGCCTCCAACTCATCCAAACTCGTCCCATCCTCATCGACGGGACCGCCACCCCCGGAAAACTTCCCTCTGCCACGCGAGAAAAATCGATTGCGATGGGTACGCGTGCTATTGGCCGAAGTCACCTTTGCGAGCTGCGAGTCGCGGGATTCCCGCGTCGATTGGCGCGCGAGACTCTCCTCGCGGTCTCGCGATTGTCCTTCCCGGGATTGGCCTTCGCGACTGGGGCGCGAGTGTGGGCCTGGAGAGGGAGAGGTGAAGGTTACGTCGGGGATGCGCACGCGCGGTTTGTCGTCAAAGACGTCGCCGAGGTCCATGCCGGAGGACATGCCTTGCATGCCGAGGGAGAAGTCGACGCGTTTGTTCATTGCGGAGAGGGATTCGCCGCGGCGACGGGCGTTGGATTGGGAGCCCGAGGTGCGACGGCGGAGGATGGAGGGGTGTGTGTTTACGCCTGGGGCGTGCTGGGCTCCGATCTGGGGTTCGTATTCGCCCATGTGTGGGTTATCGCGGGCGAGAGATCCCGAGCGGGGACCGGGTCCGGATCCTAAATCTGAGGGGTCGGGGTTGGGGTTGTAGGGAGGTGGATAGGCGCCATTGAGGAAAACGGGATTTTCCTGAGTGAAACCTGCGAGACGTTGGCGTGGACCTTGGATTCCTATATCTTCCATTGCGCAAATCATGGCGATGATGAATTTGTTGCGACGTTGGAGACGCAATAATTCATTTTGCCAACTGGACTTGTAGAAGAAGACGACGTTAAAGGTGATGGAGTAGTTTTCGTAAATGGTTGTTACTTCGGTAATGATCTTGCCTTGGTATTCGCGCTTTTCGGATTTAACAAACTTGACGAGTTCTTCGCGGAGTTGCTCGAGTTGTTCAATGGAAGTGCCGAATTTGACAGTGATGGGAACAGCTTCGGCGAGACCTCCTGAACGACGCTGATTCAGGATAAAGAGGGTGTTGAGATAACTGTTTGGGGCTTGTACAACATGACCTTCCATCTTTTTGAATTCGGTGAAGAGAAGCGAAATTTCCTTGACGAAATAATCATCTCCTTGTAACTTGGATCCAGTGTTTCCGTAAATCGTAACTCGGTCACCAACATCGAAAGGATGCTTGACGAAAACGAAGATGATCGATTGCAGAAACTCTTGAGCAGTTGCGGTGAACAACCAAGAAAGGGCTAAGACAGACGAACCAGCTGATGTCAAGACACCAGATGCAGAAGTAGAAATTAGAGAGATGAATACCAAAATGGTAATGACTACAACGATGAACAAGAGTATGTCATCGAGTTTGCTGACCACCGAGTCCAGATCCTTGAGGGAAGCGGTGATCGCTTTTCGTTCTCGTCCAATTTCAACACAAACTGTTTCGAGTTCCTCCATCGAGATGTCACCGTTCAAATCTTTATCGAACATGGTAAATGCTGCCTCGGCTTCTTCTTCGTTGTCAAAAGCTAGTGTTAGATCCTCCGCCAGAATGGTTTCCATGTCGTCGTGCACAAAGGTTCGGTAAAGTCTTCGAGCAAGTACTTGAGATCCGGTTGTCGTGTTAAGAAGTTGAAGAATTCTAGAGTATACAATTAGCATAGTAAGAGCCTATCGCCATGGGGATTCTTACACTTGATGTGGATGAGTACTTGATGTGACAGCTCTTCCCGTAAAGTCTCCAGCCACCTTACCAGCTACATCACCAACCTTGGTAAAGACATTCTTCGCGTTTTTCTGAGCCTTGTTGACATAAGCCATTGGAGTACGAGCCCCCGATTTAATACCTGCGTTCCCACTACGGTCCTCGAAATCCTCATCTTTCTCGAGAATCTTTTCCTTGGAATACTTGTACAACTTGACCAAACTCTGAATTTGAAATTTGTTGATCTCGATTCTATCGGCGTATGTTCGCAAGTGAAAACTAATGGCAATGAGTTGAATGATGATTTTCTCGACGAAGTTCAAGGTGGCTCCGACAAGCACAGATACAATGATCTTGTTGCAGGTATTTTCCCAGCTGCGAGTAGTCTTGTCTCCATTAAGATGGTGGTTCTTCATGGTTGGGAGAAAGGAAATTTCAACAGCCAGCCACCAAAAGAACAGAGTTGCTGGTACCTCTAGTGATTTCCCTAGATCTCTCCATTTCTTGTTATTATTTGTGAATAAGCTAGAAACGAGACCCATTGGATAAGGAATGCATTTGGCAATAATCTATTCAGGGGTAATTAGCGAGGTTTTGATTTGCAAAGTATCTTGTGATCACTCACTCTTGCAAGCCATAATGTCAACCAAACGATTTCTAACCAGATACCAAACCAGAAGAGCTTAACACCTCCGACCGTGGCCCTTTTAAAAAGAAAGAGCCCAAATAAAACGGGAATTAAAAGTAGCAACGTCAACGGCGTGATGTAGACAAAGTATCGAACTAAGACACTAGAGCCGTGAACCTTCTTAAAGAACTTTGCAAGTGCTGTGGCCGGATGTGCTGGTGGTCTGTATATTTTAGTCTTCTCGTGTATCGGGGTAGTATCAACGTCGAAATCATCAATAGGTTCTCTATTAGGCCCCCTAGATCTCGACCTCATTGATCTACCCATACTGCTGCCATCACCCTTTTCTTCATTCGATATCACACGTTCTACTCGAAGCATTTCAAGGTCATCGTCAAGTCGCCGTGACTGCTCTCTTTGTGCAGCGGCGGATAAAGGCGATTGATCTCTTTTGCTCAAGTATTCCGGGTCATGGGAAAAACTCGTGGCAACCCTCAAGTGATTGTTGTCGACGTGTTGATCTTGATGATTATGATGGTCATGATGATATTCGTATGGGTGTTCATCTCCCAAAGTTCCATCTTCATCAGACGAGCGACGTTCCTGGCGAAAAGGTTCCTGATGGTGAGTGTGGTGAGGATCGTCTGGAAATGCAGGGAAGGAGAATTGTTCCTTCTCCTGAATTGGCGTCGACATGATATCGGGATGTTGATCTGAAGTTGAAGAAACGTTGAACAGATTTCCCAAAAGTCGTATTACGGGGTAGATCTGTTGACAAAACTGGGCCCAAGATCAACCCCACGATCTCATCGAAGATAAGGGGATTCGATCAATCACAGATCTGTGAGGGGTCTTGACGTGATAAAGGTGATTCAAATCCAAGGATTGAAATCTCTGTGGGTAGATTAAATGGAGTTGAGGGCGTCGGAAATGATGCGAGACGTTTTGTCCCAAGGTCGATCTGATCAAATTTGGTTGACGATCGTACGTTCTCGACGAGGCGATGGGAAGTTATGAAGAATATATGGGGAATTGAAAAAGAAATGGGAAAGTATATACGAAGGAGGAAGAAGAGAGAAACAAGAAAAGGGACCAAAGCGAGAGTGACGAGATGATGATGATGACGACGATGGAAGTGACCGTGAAACTGACAATGACAGTGGAGATAGATTCGTTGACAGTGGAGAAAGAGAGGTGGAGGATGTAGCGAATGGAGGAGGGAAGGGGAGGGGAGGGAAGGGAAGGGAATGAATGATTAAGTAATTGGATGTGAAGATGAATATGAAAATGGATATGGATATGGATATGGATATGGACCGAAACAGGAAGCGAAAGAGAAATAGAAATAGAAATAGAAATTAAAAATCGGAATTTTATGATTTGCCTTTAAACATACATATATGGTACATAGTACATACCTAGTACATACCTAGTACATACAAAGTATCTATCTACCTACCCTCCCTACCTCCCTCCATACCTACTACCTACCTACCTACCTACCCACCTAGCAGATATCGAACATTGAAATTTGATAGGAAGATCTAATCATCAAACCCAATTCCACCATCTACTCAATCGGGGGCGTTTCCATAAATATCCCATCTCTGACTTCTCGTGATTGGTTCTAAATGTCGTCCCGATTCCCGAATGCAGTGAAGTAAGTTTTTTTTCTTTCGTTTCTTTTCTTTTGCCCGTTCGTCTCCTTCTTGGCGGCGGTCGGGTTTCGGTGAGAACTACGTCATATGGGCACTAGGGATGGATGGTACTTGGATAGGTCTAGTGGCTCGATGGGTTGTCCCTCATTGTGAGAATGAATGAATGAATGAATAAATAAATAAATAAAAGTGTGTGACACGGGATAATTGTATTATAATACATTGTGTTCGCATGTGGTATCACATCATCACATATCGAGATTCAATTCCATTCCATTGCATTCTATCCTCAAAAGTGTATGAACCTCCGCTCCCGTCTCACTCCCGTCTCACTGCACCAGCAAAGCAGGAGAAGATGTCCATTACCCAGGTACGTACTGGCGGTATTCACAGTCCATGGTGTTTGTGACAGAGACCCCTAATTCCTCCACAGTCGAGACAGTCGAGACAGCATTATACGTTCCCAAGTTCCAACACAATGAATCATGATGGGTCGAGACGCGACCAGGCACAGAGTCATTCGCAGCCCGTCCCCAATCCCTTGAGCCTTGGCACAGAGTGAACGTCCAGTTAAAGTGCATTCGAGATCCATTTGACTGGTCCAGGGCCGAAGGGTAAATGATCAAATGTTTCAGTGAAATTCCCGGTCGCCGTGATTCGTTCGTACCTTGATCAACTACTTTGTACTACTGACTGACTAGGTCGACTAGGTCATAAACTGCCTCTCCGGCCCTTGAAACTGGGAAAGTCAAGCTTGCCCTGCAATTCCTTATCTCGCACCCCCTGAATTTCCCAGCAGAGGAAAGACATGTAAGGATGGGAAATAGATAAGCAGTGAGATCACTTATAAGTAACCTTGGACAAGTTAAATTATTTAACTTTCATACAAAGTCTGATAGATAGATAGGTAGATAGATAGATAGGTAGATAGCGAGAATAGATAGATAGCGAGAATAGATAGATAGCGAGGATAGATAGATATCAATAAGTCAATATATCAATCAATCCATCCATCAATCAATCAATCAATGATCCATCCATCCATCCATCCATCCATCCATTCAATCACCCACCACCCATCCATCCATCAAAACAACATTCCCTACCTAAACAAATAAAAACCTTAGACCACTAGATTGAAGATCACATATCCAAGTCCGTCCTTCCAGCCAAAGCCATCAATGCAAGCCCAGTCACCTAGTCACCTAGCCTTCTAGTCCCAGCCGTGGCTTAAGCCAAGCGAGCAAGTGAACGTTTGTCCGACCGACCGGTCCGGTACATGCGATACGACTCATACGAGACCATTGGATTCTTGCTGTAAATACTACCCACGAGCTACCTAGGTACTGCAAGGCGGATTGGATTGATTTTAATATTTCGTTTCTTTCCTCTCCTTGCTCTGGAGTTTGTTTCTCATCTTCACTTCATCACCTAGTGCTCTCCCGCGTCCCTGCTCTGTACACCGTACCATCCAAGTTCGTTCCAACTCAACAAACCCCTCATCGTACACTCCACCCATCTATCCCCTACACCTCTCTACACCTCTCTCACCTCCCTCCCAAATTCCAACCTCCCTCCCAAACATCCCTTCTAAGTTCTCACCCATCCATCCATCCATCCATCCACCCCCAAAGTTGGGGGATCGATCGAAAGCCCTTCTCTTCTCGGCCCGTATTAATTTGTCGATCAGTGCGTTGGCTTGCAGACGGAGCATTCGGAGAGGGTCTCAATCTCCACCTTTTTTTTTATTTCCAGTTCTGAATTCTTCATTTACCACTTGATTACATAAAGCGATATCGATAATTCGAGACCATGGTGGAGTGGAGACATCTACTAGCTATTATTGATTCAAATGACTTGCTACATTCCCCAAAACAATGCACAAACTAAGATTGCGAAGTATGCATGCATACATTCCAAGTAGTATGATGCGTAGGTAACTACAATACAATGTCAATTCTGTAGTAGCTGTAGATTCTACTCATGAAATCTCACTCGATATCAATGATATTCACATGGGCATTCTTCAGAGCGCTAAATCATTCCGTCTATCATTGCGGTTAGACGAATCAGCTATCTATGCCTCAAAAAATGCTATGTATGTGCTCCCAAACTTCCTTAAACGCCCTCTGGCCGTAGCCAGCAAGTAAAAGCTTCATCGTAATTGATTTCGCTGGTTCGCGAATTTCTAAAACGCTCCTGTCAGATCCAACTACACACCCTCTAAACCCATTTCTGCACGGCTGTACCGCCTCTCTTAAATTCTGGCATCTCACCCAAGACCTGACTCTTCTCGGTATGCTCTTTGTTTGGGAAAGTGGTTGCAAGTACCCAAGCTCGCTCATTGCTATCGGCATTTGCTCTTGCAATGAATTCATATACATCGCCTACAGTTTGCGTAGTGTTGAATCGAGCTGGAAGACGAGTTCCATTTGCCAACTGAAGTCTGAGGGTGAGTGTTGGTTGTGATTCATCGACCTGAACTTCTGGGGTTGCTGTCGAGGCGGCAGTAGGTGCAGGAGCTGGGGCGGATGCCGGCGGGGTGCTGGAGCCGCCCGGTGTAGGGCTACCGAGTCTCTGACCTGAGCCACCAAAAGGCTTGTAGACCTTAGGGGGAGCTTTGTAGGGTCCATCATGTTTGTGCAATTGAACATCAACTGGTTGGAGATGTCTAACATTCATCAAGTGCAGAGGAGCACGACCACTCTGTATTGCCTGAAGATCTTGCGCGTTTGCCGGGTCATCGAATCGACGAAGTGGCCCATCTTCAACACTGAAACCATCCTCCCAAAGGTGTAGAATTCTTGTCACAAGCTCAGAAGAAGCTGCAGGAGGATGAGGATCGGGAATTACTTGAGAAGGAGCATCATCGCCGCCGAGAGTTTGACCACTGCCACGGAATCGAGATGGTGCGGCTGCAGCTGGCGTAGATGGCTCTCCAGTCTCCCTTGAAGAATTTCTGTATATTTTAAGTAAGGATGTAGTCTACAAATCTTTGAAAAGGAAAACTCACGCTTTAGCTTGCTTAAGGATATCACCAACAATCTTTCTCGCGTCGGGTTTCCTAGAGGGATCTTGGACAGCTAGTCCTGACTTTTCACCACCAGCGAACAAGTCTCTTGGCTGTTCATCTGGCTCATAATCTGGATCACTGTCGTCGGCATCGTTCATACGATCCCCATGGCTCGAAGATCCTTGATTTAAAGACCCAAGAGTTGCGATGCCTCCACGTCCTCCAGCTCTCCCGGCTGTGGCAGTTGGTTTTGCAGGTTTCTTGCCATTATCCGGAGCAGGTCTACCATCGAGTGTTCGGGGTCCAGTATACGGTGATGGAGCTTCGGTTTGATCGTTGCTACCGACTGGTTCTGAGGCTCCTGTATTTCCTTCTTCTTGAGCAGTGAAGAATTCTGTCATAGCTGATGCATAGTCCCATTGATTTGCGGAGAGAAATTGTTGAGCCTACAATTTAAGAAGATAAAGAGAGTCAGCGACATGAGATCAATCTCGATGGTCAAAAACATGATGATTTTGGAGGGGTTTCCCTGCGTCTATGATCATACCTCTGATGGGGAAGCATTGGTGATTGCGCAAAATTGAGAGATCAACTCATCATGATTACTGGTGTCTGCCATGATTGTTTTGTAGTATTGAAGGCGATATTCCTCGAGATAGCTAATTGACTAAAACGTAAGCTGATTTTGAAGAAGTAACAAGATTTCCCGTGAAAGCATAAAATATTTTGTAGTTTGATGGTGAAATGTTATAGAGAGAAACAAACCAACGAGGCAGCTTGGGATGACGTTCTTTTTTTGGCGGGGCTGGATTCTTCCACATTTATAAGAAAAATCGTCAAAGCTTCGGTCGGCATGGGATTATCATGCTCCGTGATACCAAAATCAACGTAGGAAGCAACGACATTGTCAAGCCCCCAGATTCTTCAGCACATCAGACATACCAATACCTACAATTAAGAGATTGTACGGAACAGAATCTATTGTGCTCCTTGAAGTGATACCTGTCATTTCGAAAAATGTCTTCAGACGAACAGCTCAACCCTCTTGTTGAATCCGGGATAACGATGCCCTCCGACTCAGAGCAATATTCTCGCAATGAAGATGAAACTTCTCCTTCACCACCTTCATCAGACTCTCCACAGATGATTCTTTACTCTCCTCCTACAATTTGGGGATTACTTCGAGGTGCTGCGATCAATCTTGTCTTGCCATTCGTGAATGGACTTATGCTGGGATTTGGAGAGCTGTTCGCCCATGAGGCTGCATTCAGGTTGGGATGGAGTAACACAAAGGTAAGACTGTTTTATTCTCCTTCTCGTCATTAAGTTCAAAAGTACACAATATATGGTTATGTTCTTCGCATTGGAGAGGCCGTGTATTATCTCACTGTATTCGAAGGTTTGTGCTAATGACTTTATTTACGTAGGTCTTCCCTCTTACACGAAGATCTGTAGGACCAGGGATTGAAGTCAGAGATAGTCCAATTGAACGCAAGAGCAGAGAAGGCAACTTAGACGACCTGACAAGCTTGGAATGAAGGAAAGAAGACATAAAACGTATACAAGATAATGGCGTTGAGAGTTATGGCCAACTCTTTTCTGGAAAGAAGAGCAAACAGGGCATAGAGAGCATTTCAAGATCGGGAGATGCACCAAACTCAAGCAAATTTAGCAGAGCTATTGGGAAGATCTAACAACACATAGATGTGATTGTTGCCGGTTCATGGGAAACGATTAAGAGAACTGGGTGAAAACTGATCGTTCATCAATCTATCCGTAGCCCATATCACAACGTGCCACAAACTCATAAATTTACCACGCAGATATATCATTCCATGCACAGCAAGCCCAAATCTATAATTCTACGAGTGAATATTTAAACTTTAGATTCCTTAGATCATGACTGTGGTTCGTGGTTGTTGTATCTAGATTACCTAGGTACCTACCCAGTGATAAACTACCTAGGTAACCAGGAATGCACAAAAATGTTATCCATTTTATGCAGAGAGTTATGCGAGTTTTCGCGATCAATAATTTTTGCGATACTGACTTCGACTGGCGAGGGGAAGAAATAACCATCATCATCCACACATAATAAAATGATACCCAGCAGAGCGTTGAGGTGTTCAAACCAGGCGGTGGCTCTAGGTAGACGGCGGATTGAATCATATGGAATTAGACAGGTATTTACTTTTCTCATAGCAGGACTAAGCACAAATGGAACGTCACTGATTTCTACAAGTTCTCTTCAAATGTACATCGACCCATTAGAAATAATACACATCTTTCGAATAAAGGCAACAGCACATTATTCTCACAGTCAATTACTCGATCGTCCCTCTCAAACCCCAATACCTTGCTTCGAAATGCCACATCCATACGTTTCGCATCAACCACACCCTCCGCCATACCTCCTGTGAATTCCTCGATCCCCTCAGTCGAAACCTCCACACCCGAGTTCAGACCTACCCCGCTCGATGTCACCCCGGATATCAACGCTGATATTCTTTCCGCACCCGAACACATTGGTTACCTCCACTCTCTTGGTCTCGACTATGGATGGGGTCCCACAGCTGTCACGGAATGGATGCTGGAGCATATCCACGTCCTTGCCGGAACTCCCTGGTGGGTATCCATCAGTCTTGCGGCTGTCGCATGGAGAATTATCTTGATCAAGCCCTTTCTCGACGCCGCAGAGAATGCATCTCGAATGGCTGCAATCAAAGATTTTACTGCTCCCGTCCAGGCTCAGATGATGGAGGCGAAAAAGAAGGGGGACACAGCGGAGATGATGTTGCATAGAGCAGAATTACAGCGCATACATAAGCGCGCGGGGATTTCGATTTGGAAAAGTTTTGTGCCGGCAGTACAGATTTTCATTGGATACGGAACGTGGAAATTGTTGAGGCAGATGTCTGATGTACCTGTTCCGGGCCTCTTGGACGGAGGAATTTTGTGGTTCTACAATTTAAGTATTCCAGATCCTTATTTCTTATTGCCATTGGCTACAAGTGGAATCCTGCATTTCGTTTTGAAGGTTAGTTCAGGTTTTTGTATTCTATTCTGCTGGTTCCCACCCCTTGAACGCTGCCCATGAAGACTTGACGAGCTAATTGGGGCCACAACAGAAAGGTGGAGATACCGGTGTCAGTAATCTCACACCCGGAATGGTGACTGCGATGCTATGGGGTATGCCTCTCCTCTCTATGCTCTTCACATCATTCATGCCCGCTGCTGTTCAATTATCGTTCTTCGTATCTTCCTCGTTCTCCTTTGGCCAGGCCACACTTTTCCGCAACCCTAAGTTCCGATCTTGGGCAAACATGACTCCTATCCCAACCCAGAACCTATCAACACCCCAAAGTACCCTCAGGATGAGAGAGGTTCCAGGATCTGGAGGAGAGGCTACTCCCACAAAGAGATTCTCGTTAGATGGCAGTTTGGGAAATGTAATGGACGGGTTCCAGAGCGCCAAAAAAGGTGTTCTAGATAGTGCAAAAGAAAGAAGAGCAAAGTCAGATGATGCATCAGCTAAGGCTAGAGCTGCTGCTTATGAGGAGAGGAGAAAGAGAGAGATTGCAGAAGAACAAAATGCGAGAAGGAGAGAAGAGAGAGAAAGAAGACAAATGGAGAAATCAGGGGGAAGAAGAAGGGGCAGAAAAGGATGAATAAGCACAGCATACCGGGCCATGTTGATCAACTCTTAGATCGTGGTGGGTAAACTTCACCAGTGTGATGATGAATGCGTCAATGTAAATTATGTTACAAAATGTTTGCAAATTGATTGGACTGGGGAGTTTCTCTGCTGATGCCACAGCATTTGCATCTATGTATCAAAATGGCCGCTACTAGATGATAGCAAAGTGGTACGGGTTAGTCTTGAACTTGTATGTACATTAGAAAATCCACGCATATCAAACGGTCTAAGTCGAGTTTGAGTGTGGACTTTGCCGTCGATCAATGATTTTGCGATAGATACTGTTGATATATTATAGTGAAAAGACCGGACATCATATGTCTCTATGCACGCTTATATAAAGTACATATGTGAATTGGAGAGCAGAGCACGGCACTTTCCCAGGGCTACAGCTCAAACTTCCTACTCATGATGACCTCGGATCTGATGATTCGAAGTTGCCTGCATGAGATTGATTAAATTTGCAAAAAGGTATGGAATAGAAGATACAAGGGTAATATCCTTCTAAAGGATTTCAAAACTTACAGAGTGGGATTTGGACGAGGATTATATGATTGGATAATTAGATGAGAAATAGGGGATGGAGAAAGAAGGCAGGGTGAAGAGAGGAGGTGATGAGAAAAGAGATGATGAAGAGAAGAAGGTTATTGTGTCTCAAGGAAGGACTGTCAGAAGCACACCGACAATACGGGCACCATCCTCACGATATCAGACGATACTTCAAGTGCAACTATGAATCTGAATACCTGCCTACCTACCTACCCATAGAACCTTGGCTTAGGGCTCGTTCGGATCGATCGGTTTTTGGACATTAGACTAATATATTAACCTAATATGGTATTTACCGAACACAATATTAAGCCCAATATATACTAGCTCAAATAAATGCATTTATTGAATACAATAGTAGATCTAATAAAATATTGAGTCAAATAATCTTAAAGTAATAAATAAAACAAATTTTCTCAACTTTTTTTATATAGTAATTAACAACAATTTTTGAGATCTAGTTGGACTAATATATTTGAAAAAAAGTGTTATCTTTTTTATTTTCAATTCAATTTCTTTATTTTCAATTCAATTTTATACGTTCTAATATTATTCCAAATATATTAGGGTTATTCAAATACCAATATTTCCAATCCCTTGCTATTTTATTATTATTAGAGATTTCACTAATAAAATAAAAAATCGATCCGAACGGGCCCTTACTGTTCTTGTTCGCCACTTGAACATCCGAAGCCAGACTATATTTGCTTTGAATTTTCAGATGATTATTCGGATATGGAATGGGTTCCGCTAGAGACATCACATATACGTGCACTCTGCATTTTGACTGGGAATCTGTTTCTGCCCATTTTGATATGCAAGTACAAATTCCAAGTAAGTAGTTCGCTGGAGCCCACAATGGCTCTACTTGGGTGGTGTTGGATAAGGTCTTTGTGTTTGAGATGGGGGCAATAGAGCTATGGCTCTTTAAGATAACACTGAGTAATGATATAATCCAACTGTGTTTACTTATCCTTATTTATATTTCATGGGTGACATTTGAATAACCCGTCCCATTCACCAGCTGTATCCATAATCTTCGGTTTGATGGAACATCATGTGAAGAAGGTTGACTGGAGATTCTCGTGCGCCTTTGGGTCAGTAAATCAAGGCGAAACCATTCTTAGTCTAATCGTCATTTTTTCGACAGAGTTTAGAGAGAAGAGGTAACCTGGGAGTGATGCGAAACTGAGATTTTTTGCAAATGAACTTTCAGTTCCGCATTGCTTTGATGGGGGTGCCAAGGTTGACGGGATAGCTACAATCGTGTATTTGAGGTTTCAAGGGAGTGTAAACGAAAGGATATGTGAGTGGAATCGAGATGGGGATGTAGGATGTTGAACAAACAACACACCTGAGGGTAAAGTTTACAT